TTCTACCATGGGCTAATTAGGTGCCTTCAGAATAGTAGGTCACACATGCCTAGTCAGACCGGCTTTATTGTGAAACATGACACTTTTAGAACATGTTCCTCACACAAGATGACTGTCAAGCGATCTGTCCCGTGTACGAGAATCCATGTGGCAGCGGGAAACCACTGCTGATTGGCAGCGTGCCAAAAGTGTGTAGTCCAGCACAACGATGTCCCTCTACGCACTTCTGCCATATTGGTGTGGACGGTTCAGATAACTACTGCTGTCAGAAAAGTAAGTCTTCTCTCAAGTATTTTTGTCCACGGCTTTAACTGGTTCACTTCCAGACGGTGATCCATGTGCCCAAGAGTTGGCTGTTGGCGAAGGAGGGTTCTCCTTTGACTAGGTAACTCCATAGACATGTTAATATCATTTTTACATTGAGCGCTGTCACTTGAGATTAGTCCCCCTTGATTGGTGGTTTAAGCAGTCGACCAATCACAGGCACTTCTCGTGCACCATCCGCCCGCATCGCACTATTTGTAAAATTTTCTCCTTCCAGTTTAGTATGCAAAATGAGTGTCAACGTAGATAGTAATAGATGAAGTGATAATTTTACTTTAGACTTTAAGACAGAGGGGCATTCCAAACCTAATCACACCTAAATTACAGGTACTATTTTGACAAAGAAACCCGCAGATGTCGTGAATTCGTCTACCAAGGCACTAAAGGGAATGCTAACAACTTCCTCAGCCTTGAGGACTGTGAACTCGTATGCCCGGGTAAGTTTCGTTTCGAGGGCTATAGCTGAATAGACTTGTGAGAACTAGATATCAGTCAGTACTTGGGGTGAGCGAGCCACGCATTTCTCTACAGGAGTTCTAACTCAACTGCGGTAATGTGGGTTGCAGTAAAAAAAAACAAAGAGTAAATCATCCAAAAATGATTATGGGGTAGACATCGATAAGCGGAACCTCTATTACATTTCAGTCGCAATGCTTGCAGTAACCATAACCCGGCGTTGAAAGGGGAGTGTCCACGGCATTAGTTGTGAGCAATGGCGGCTGAGCATCCGTAACTAGTCGCCGGCACGAGCATAAGCTAAGGGATGCAACAAAGTTTTCTTGTGCCACCTGTATCCTGTTATGCACACGCTGTTCATACCGCTGTCTGTACCGGCAACTGTCTACCATTACTCACAACTAGGTTTGTGGACACTCCCATTCAACGTAGAGATATCGACTGTATATTGTGACACTTGCTTCGAAATACTGCAGTATTTTTCGCTGACATAGCAATACTGAACCTAATTCAAATCCTTTATTCAGTACTGCCCAACCCGTGCCGTCTCGGTGAGCCGCTGATGAATGCTCTCAAAGAGCCGATTAGCAGTGGTGGAGAAGACTCTTGCATCAATGGATATTGGTGTCATGTTGGTGGAAGTCCAGAAACAACCAACTGTTGTCCAGGAAGTAAGTTCTGTTAGAAAGTGCTCGTAACAGTCCAAGAATGATCGTACTTGTTCAGCACGTCGACCATGTGACCTGCCATTGGAAACCGGTCAAGGATCCGAACAACTCGAGCGATGGTTCTACGATGGCGGTATTCAGGTGAGTTAATATAAACGCATGGAAGAGAGAAGATTCTGGAAAGCAGTAAAGCGCACCACACCGAAACATTCCGATTTCCGTCGCTGGAGACAAAGTCGGAAATCGGAGTTCAAGTGGAACTTACGTGCAAAACAAACTTGCTGATTGTACGAAAACTTGTAATTGAGCAAGAAGTAATTTCAGATGTGTCGAACATTCACTTATAAAGGAATGAAAGGCAACGCAAACAATTTCCTCACCAAACAAGCGTGCCGGCAAGCATGTAAAGGTACGCTCTCCCCAAAACACACCATAACACTAACTAGTGCTCAGTTATTCTTCACTTTTTCTCGCAATTCTCATTTCTTACACATTTCTAGGGAGGGTGTAGGGGCGGGTGGCTCAGCTGGTTGATACAAGAGAAGCGGTCTGAAAGTTAAATTTCGCATGTCCTCCCGCCCGGGCCAGCTAAGCCTTATATCCTCCATAATAGATTTGCCTGAGAGGATAAAAACACTGACTTATACATGCCCCCCCCCACCTGAAGTCCTCGATCACAAGATTCTGACTGGAAGTAGAATGCTGCATCCCGAGAATGAGTTGGTGGACAGCGGAAAGGTATAGGGCTGGCTTTGAGCTAATTCTCATAATTCTCGTTTTTGTCCTCCTCCGTTACTGTTACAGAGTACCCGATAATTTGGATACCGACTCTACGACGTTATTCCCATCAGTGCCGATGAGCTTGACTTTCCATTTCCCTCATCAGAACTTATTCCAGTTTTTTGAAGCCCAGGAATTACTGCTCTGCATGTATTTCTGTATTTGCCAAACATCTACCTCATTTGTTTTCAATTTTTTTCAATTTTTTTATCAACCGAATTCCTGAGCCTTCGAATGTTCCAGAATTGAATCCGTGCGGTTACGGAGAGCCGTTGATCGGCACTGATGATGAAAGAGTGCTCTGTACAGGAGGACAGAAAGTTGACAGTTGCCCTCGCGGACACTACTGCCATGTTGGCGCCACTGCTCTCACTACCGTCTGCTGTCCAAAGAAAAGTGAGTTCAACTTCTCAGTTAATTTGGCCTGCTCCTTGCTCAACGAACGAAGCTTCAAATAGAAAATGTCTTGAAACTTCCAGATATTGAATCTTGCGATCAGCCAGTCGATCAGGGAACAGGCGGTGAGGATTTACCTCGATGGTTCTTCGACAGAAAGCAGAATAGGTAATGATCACATAATAACTACCGCCCATATCACGGTAGAGGGAGGGGTGTGTCTACGGAACTGGTTGCGAGCGTGGCAGAGACCTGATTGCATCTGCGGAGAGGTGCCGGTTCTAACAGAGAACTACGAAGTGCTCGTTTTCTCGTGCCTCTACGCTGTCTGCGTCTATGTGTGAGCCGGCTACGGTAGACCGCTGCCACGCCCACAACCGGGTCCGAAAACACACCCTCTCCAGGCGCTGTGATATGAACTGATCAGTACCATGTCCGTCATAACCGCGTATCTTGCAGATGCGCACCGTTCAACTACGGTGGCATTGGGGGTAACGAGAACAACTTTATAAGTCAAACCACGTGCAGCGAAGCATGTCCAGGTAAGAGAAACGCCTCTATTATTAGCGCTAGCTATTTCTTATCTAATATGGCCAATATTCAGTTTATCGTAACTACTGCCCACATGGTATTCCACTTGTCGAGGGCAACCAAGTCACGCCGTGCGGAATCGACCGGGGCTGCCCTGATGGGTTCATTTGTCATATGAGTACCGAGTTTAACGTTTCGGTCTGCTGCCAGGTAAGGATGCCATGCTCCTTCATTATAGTCACTTGTCATTACTTTACTGCTTACATTAGTACAGTGAATATAAATTAGAAGAGAACGCATGCTGCTGACACAGGGCGGGGCTATGGAATGGTGGGCATCAGTCATCCCTCCTCACACAAACTGACACTTTCGGCGAAATTCCACAAAAAAGGGGTTGTCGAACCGGGCATAGGGGACAGAAGGGGACAGACACCTTGGCGGCCAACTATCTGGAAGCAAGCCACCTCGTACGTGGGGGTCGTATTTGTTCGTTGGACGGAGGGAAAAGAGGACCGCTGCTTTTGAGAAAAAGGTCTTTGGATGTTGACTTTCCACAAGTTTTCCTCTTTCATGTGCGGATATGTGGAAATTAAGGAACGTTGTAGGTGGGGATGGAGATTTATAAGAGGAGGAAATTTTGAGGGAAGGGTCAATTTTGCGGAACGGTCTGACGCGCTTCCAATCGATAGCTGGAGCGAGGAGTGGGGAGAAGAAAGAAAAAAAAAAAGAAAAAATAAGAAAAAAGGATAAATCATTCACTGGAAACATTCCGGTTGCTGTCTTTTGAGCCCGCACCTATTTGATTTTCCCCACGAAGTATGGGAAAATCACTGTAGAACACTTTAGAAGTACACTCCTCATCATTACGGACTGTCGGGGCGTATCAGCCAGAAGGAGTGCGCACACTGAAGCCGTTCTCAGCCTTTTCGTTGAAACGCGTATGCGACAAAAAGTGGTAGAAAACGAGTAATACGAAGGATATAATGCTGTTATGTCATTTGATCGCTTCAACAACTGGTGCAGAAAGACTTTGGAACCGCGGAAAACGCAGCCGCACTGACCCGTCGACAGTCCGTAATGATGAGGAGTATATCTCAGTGAGAGAGTCCACACAAGTAGATGGCCCGCTGGCATCGTGTCCCCCCACAGCTGTCCCCCCTCAACTACCTCTATCCCAAAAACCTTACAAAAAATTCCTGCATAAAATTCTACAAAAACCGAAAAAGGCTGAGACCTAGTAAGCAAGTGAACCATTAAACCCACCGAAAAATAGGGAATAACGTTACTGCCTAATTATTCTGCTTAGTGACAGCCCCTGAAAGACGGTAACTGTAGCAAAGTATGAGCATTGCAAGTGAAGAAAGCTTTCCACCGAAAAAATGGCAAGAATGCTACGAGCAAAAGAGGAGGCAGCGTCTTAGTCAGAAGGAGTCACCTTTTCTTCCTGTACAACGCCCTCTTCGGTTGAGAAGGCAGGGAATGGACTATCATCTAGACACCTTAGGGGGGCCGGATCCAATAGGGACCATTCAAAGAAACCTCCCGCGATTACCTAGCAGGTAAAACCATTTTCCGCGTATATCGAAGCAGGTCCGCAGCACACATAGCGGTCTCTCCGCGGCGCAGTTCGGCTTGATGGGGACACCAAATAGTACTTATCTAGCGAAGCTTGTACAGTCACTTTACGAAGCTCTGGCGATTCTCGTGACCAAAGTGGCTCACTTGCACCGTTTCACAGCAGCTTACAGGTTTCATCAAAGCGAGACGTGTTAGATGTGAGATTTGTTACTTAACAGTAACTAACAAAAGGAACTAGCGAAAGTGCTAAATGTCCCCACCCCTTAGGCCGAACTGTGCCTCATCTCGCTACTGAAAAGTGCGTAACAGGAGCATCGGGGATTGCGGGTCTGGCCAGCCTTATTCAGTCTGACTCCACCCCCAATAAATAAATATCCTCTGTTCCTTTCACGCACCCGCTTCTCTGGTCTTTCTCGCGCCCAGGGTCGCTACCTGCATAGCATACTCGTCCAGTGGCACTATTTACCCTTTACTGCCCCAACCATATAGAATTGAGCCAGTTCCTGACCGACTTTGTTCTCCGTGGACAGATTTGGCTTCTCCTGGGGTAACCTCTTGAATACGAATATGACATTCGCTTAGCCCGAAACCTCCTGGCGCCCGCGCCACACGCGCCGGTGATCTGGGGTATTTTGGCGCCAGCACCTGTAGCGCGGGCGGCAGGAGGTTTCAGGCCGAGCGGATGTGATATTCGTGTTCAGGAGGTCAGACTACCCCTGGGAACAAGTTTTCAGCGAATTTGGTGATTTAGGTATTTTGGCGCCGGCGCCTGTGGCGCGGGCGCCAGAGGTTTCGTGCCTAGCGGATGTTCATGTTCAGGAGGTCAAACTACCCCAGGGTAAATTTTCAGCCAATTCTGCCAAGGCAGAAAAAAGTCGGTCAAAACTGGCCTGTTTTCGGAAGATTGGGGCAGTAAAGGGTAAATAGTGCCCGTCCAATAATAAAAAGCAACTGGGCCTAACT